CAAATCCTTGTTTGTTGAAACCATTTTTGTTTTCAATTTTGAAACTTCTCTCAATCCCTGCAAGCAGTGTCTCCCTACACGTTCCTGTCAGATCTTCGGTAGAAGTTTTTTTTCTTCCCATTCTGTCTTTTCTTACTGCAAGTTGGCAGATCATTCTTGCTGAGTTCCTAACTGTAGTTTGAATCTAAAGTGTCTCAGATTATAAGTACAGAAGCAAAGAATTCCATTGTCCAGTGGGACTGACTACTGTGGTAATAGAAAGGGCCAGATGTGAGGATTCGGTTTGAGCTCCTAGAAGATGGAAGTGGAGGTGTTAACAAAAATGGTAGGAGAATCTCTAGACTCAGGAGGGAAAATGAGGCATTCAGTTTTGTTCAAAGACAATTTAAGGTGCTGGTAGGATATTTAAAAGAAAACTATACTATATTACATATTGTACAAAATACACCATTGGAAATCTAGGCCAGGAACTCAGAAAAGAGGTCTAGGTTACATATTGAGTTATACACAGTGATTCGATTAGGTGAGATTATAAAGAGAGAGAGGTATAGGGGGAGGGTAGGAAAAAGGACACACATCGAACCTTAAAAAAAAAAAGCCTATCTGTAGCAATATAGAAGGAGAGGGACCACAAGTAATCCAATCAGGAAACTAATTAGAGTACAGTATTACAGAAGCCAAGGTAAGAAAGTATCAAGGAAAGATTTCTTGACTTAATAGAACATTTGTACATACAAATCGGTAGTAGTTAAATTCACACTGAAGGTTTAAGCAATAAGAGGTCAGTGATGAAGAAAGCAAGTCATAGCAAGCTGCTCTATTCAGATGTAAAACAATAAAAATGAATGAGTGAATGGATGCATGGAAAAAGAAAAAAGAATCAAGTAGCAGTTTGATTTGTCCTTAGAAGAAAATTGATGCTTGCTGGAGAAACCAATACATTCAGTGACTGAAAATGCAAGAAAAAGGAGTTAAGGAAAATCTGAGAGGATAATTGATAGCAACATAAAAGTAAAAAAGGAGGAAACTGAAAATTATATCAGACTTTTTTGAGTCAAGTTGGAGATAACGTCACTGGAGAGACTGAGAAGATGAAGATACCATGGGTGGCTGGCAGTGGGGGTGGGATAGATAATAGAATGATGGGTTAACCGAAGTCTATTTATCTCTTATATAAAAGAAGTCACAAGGTACACAGACAGGGTTTCTTTGGTGGTTCCAAACATGTGGCTCCACGTCATGAGGGACCCTGGCTCATCCTGTTTTCAATTCACCATCCTAGTTTATGGCTTCTATCTTCATGGTTCAAGAGAGCTGCTAGATCTCCATTGATCACACCCATGTGTGCTGGCTAGAAAGAAAAAGCAGAAACGCAAAAATGGCTCCTTGCAGCTGCATTAGGTCTCTTTCAGCAGCCTTTTTGGGAAGTATCACAAAAGTTTTGCTCTCATGTATTTGGCCAGAACTTTTATCAGCTACACCTATTCACAAAGGAGGCTGGAAGATATAGTTTTGTTCCCTCATTGTGACCAGAGAAATGTCAGGGTTCTCTTACAAAGAAGGAAGGGAAGATGATGGTGTTCGGTAACTGTCAGTTTCTGTCATAGACGTGGTGAAACATTTGTGATGAGGCCATTATTCCAGTTTCGTCACTTTTTCTAGCAAAACTGGTTATCAGGAAAAGAAATGTTTTGGCCGGGGCTATGGACTGGAGTGGCAGTTTCCAAGAAGGAAGTGAGCAATTCCAGAGTACAAGCAAACATACTGCTGAAACCCGGATACTGAGGTCCAGGCAGATGGACTGAAAAAGCACAATGGGTACTCATGGGGCTAGAGATCACAAGGAACGCAGAGAGCTAGTTGAATAAAGAAGAAAGGAATGGGAAAGTGGAAGAAAGATGGTGTGATGAGAAGAGGAGATTTCAAGTTGGCAAAAATAAGGCAGTTACAAATGCTCAAAGTATGAGATGTGATTATTCTTGGCTGGAATGGAAAAATAGGTTATTATATTGATGTGTAGTAGTTATGGAAACAAGGCTAGAAGGATCATTGATAAGGATGATATCAGGACTTGAAAGTGGAAAGCAACACTAAACTAGAGACTAAAAACCTAGATATTCATGAGATCAGAAGTAAACAGAATGAGGAGTAGGGTCAATGTAGAGATTCACTTACAACTGAGGAGCGGTTGATTGGAAATCGCAGGGGAATATTAGTAATGGCAGACATTTATTGAGTACTTGCTATGTGACAAACAAGAAACTGTTTTTAATATAAAAATGATTTTTAAATTTACAATTTAGGAATAATTTTAGATTTACATAAAAGTTGTGAAGATACAGACTTTCTTCCCTTCATCCGTCTTCCTCTAAACTTAACCTCTTACATAACTGTGGTACATTGGTAAAGCTAGGAAATGACAGTGGTACAGTACTATTAACTAAACGTGATTCGGCTTTCTTCAGTCGTTCCACTAATGCCTCTTTTCTATTGCAGAATGCAATCCCACATACCCTGTTGTACTTTGTATTTCGTTGTCATGCCTCCTTAGTCTCCTCCGACCTGTGATGTCTCAACATCTGTTTTTCTTGACCTTAACACTTTAAAGAATACTCCCAGGAATCTTGTGGAATGTCTCTCAGTTGGGGTTTCTCTGACATTTTCTGATGAGTAGACTAGGGCTATGTGTATTTGAGAAAATACCACAGAGCAGAAGTGTGCTGATCATATAGCATCGTATCTGTGAGAACACCACAACATAATTGATGTCAAACTCGATCTCTTGGTTAAAGGGGTGCTTGCCAGATTTCTACAATACAAACATTTTTTCCCCTTTCTCTACTGTATTCAGCAAGAGGCTGAGTTTAGCCCACACTCAAGGGGAGGGGTATTAAGCTCCATCTATTGGAAGGCATAGTTACCTATATTTGTGATTTTCCTGTAAGGAAGGTTTGCCCCCTCGTCCCCATTTATTTATTTCTTCAATCATTTATTCATATCAGGATGGACTCACGGATATTTTATTCTTTGGGTTGTAATCCAATACTATTATTTTTTTGCTCAAATTGTTCGTTTTGGCAACTGGGAACTGTTTTTACATAAATTATTTATTGAATCCTGTGAGGTGCCTATTACTGTTATCCTTATTTTGTAGAAACGGAAACTCAGGCTCAGAGAGTAAGAAACCTTCCCAATGATTCACATCATGTGTGTGTTGAGGCCAGGTGTCTTCAGAGTCTGTGTGCTTAGCTTTGCTGTGCTGCTCTTAGAGGGAAAGGATGCTCCACGCAAGTCAATCAGAGATAAGGTGTCTTTATTTCACCCTTTTTCAGAGGTGAGATCACAGATTTTGAGGGGATTCATCATAAAGGTAGTAGTTGCAGAATGGATGAGCTTCCAAAGGGTCAGTATGTAGAGAAAGAAACACACATGGTGGTCAGAACTAAGCCTGTTGCCAGGTGGGAGGAGAGGACAGTAGCTAACAAAGGCAAATGAGGGAATAAACAGGATGCAGGACAGCTAATGTCATAGAACCTAAGGGAAGAAAAAAGTTCATAGAGGGTACAGGGCCGTAGAGAATCAGCCTATGGTAAGATGGAAGTTAAGTGAACATCATCAAAGCAGCGTAATGGGAAGAAAACAAGATTTCAGGAGACCAACATTATTTTAGAGAAAGGAGGCAAAGAAGTAATTGAATAAGAAAAGGGATGCAGAATCAAGTAATTTTTCTTGTTCCTGGGATAGAGGATGACCTGTACACAGGGGTGCCCATAGGAGAGAGAAAAGACTCTGGAAGAGGGAGACGGAGTAGCTGAGTGTATGAAAACTGGAAAGGAAGGGTGCTTGTTTCTTTTTTATTGAAGTAGAGTTGATTTACAGTGTTGTGTTAATTTCTGCTGTACAGCAAAGTCATTCAGTTAAATATAAATACACACGTTCTTTTTTACATTCTTATTCATTATGCTTTATCATAGGATACTGAATACAGTTCTCTGTGCTGTATAGTAGGGCCTTGTTGTTTATCCATTCCAAATACATTAGCTTACATCTGCTACCCCCAACCTCTGGATGTAGAGAACAGACTTGTGGTTGCCAAGGGGGAGGCGGGGGGAGGGATGGAGGGGCAGGTTGTGGTTAGGGAGAGTGTCCATCTTGGAGGCCGGGGAGCTTCTCCTTCTCCCATGTTGGAAGTTGGCCTAAGAGCAGAGGACAGTGGTATTGTGGAGGTAAAAGTACAGACACACTTACGATGTGCTGTGGGGTTTTGATGGTTTCAGTCGTATTAGTGCAACTGGAAGCATGGTCCTCTGCGGACACTGGGATAAAACTTGAGACATTCCCTAGTCTTGTGAGTAGCTAACATCCCTGGTCAGTGTTTGACAGGCTTGGTGACAAGGGGGCAAGTTGCAGTCATTCATGCTGATGAAGTCATTTGACTGAAAGTAGGGATCAGAAATATTATCTGGATTTTTCTTGACTCTTTCAGATCAAACGGTTGAAACTGAATATATTGTGCACGTAGGCAAAAGACAGTGTTAGTCTTTCTCAAATATTCAGAATTAAGTATGATGCTAATTGGCTATGTTTTTATCGACTTGTTGAGAAAAATACCTAATGATTAAGAATCAATGTAAAATTAATGTAAAAAATTGTTACTAGAATGAAAACTTTTTCCCAGGAACTTCTTTTCAACTCTAACTGCAGAATTCTTGGTGAGTGTTTAATAGTTATGAATTTAACACCAAAGGCTTAACATGCCATTTATATTTGTTAGAGGTGTAAGTTTGGGCAATACCTTTTCTAATCTAAGCATAGAATAGAACATGGGTTGTTTAAATTTTTGTCATAAATATTCTTAAAATATTGGCTATTAAAATGGAATGTTGGATTTTAATCTGAGATACAAAACAAATACCACTAGACTATACTACTGATAATACAAGGTTTAAAACAACATACATTTCAGAAGCATTTTAACCTATGAAGTTACTTGAAGTGTGTTTTTTTTTTTATATTCCTGTCAAGGCCAAAATATCCAGGGGCAGAACTTTATAAGAAGTTTATGAATTATTGACTTAACCTATCCTTAAATATGAATTATTGACTTAACCTATCCTTAAATATTGAAGACTGCTTTCATCTAATATAACACTATACTTTAAGTACTCACTTCCTTTATGTGGACCAGAAAGAAGAATTTGCCTTAAAACATATTATTCATACCTGGTGATTATTTTATTACCATATATATTATTGTGTACAATTTTTTGATAATGAAGGATATTTATTACAAATCATATTTTAAACAAAAATGTATTCATGGCACATGTAAGCATTAACATCTTGAAGGAGAGAATACCCATGAAAACATTTACCTCAAATTTAGTAATACTGAAAAACACTAGTTTGAGCATAGCAATGATTGAAAGCTATATAATACATTGGAACACTGGTAAATCTTCAGGTACTGTAGGAACAACCTGGCATAGGAAAAAGATCAAATGAGGCACATCACATCCTCAGAAGTGCACATCATCTAAAAATAAATCCCTCAATACAGCAGTACACAAGCCATTCTTCCTTTGTTTGGCACTTAGCAGTACAGACAAAGGTGTATTTGGTTTAATGTGATTTTACTATTCTTAGATAAATTTTAGTTACTTTTATAGATAAAAATATACGATATTGCTTTAAGTTTTTTAAATTTTATAAGTGTATACTTGATTGTCATTATATTCACAATTTAAAAAGCCTATTTTTTCCCCCACTAAACCATTCAGTAACATGTGGAAGAGACTAACAAAAATGGTTTATATGAAGACTTTTAATGAAAGGTTTAAATGTGAAAATGGAATATTAATCTGGATCACTGGTCTAAATCTTTAGTGATACCTCATGCTGGAAACAAATTATGAAATGTTTTAGACAAATTTATTATTTTCAACTCTTAAACTGATTCTACAGGTTCAAAATTTTGTCTGAAAATGCATAAAACTGATGTAGATATTTTGTCTGAAGTCACTTTCATATACATTAATTTACTAAAAAACATAACAAAAACATGTATTTTAATACTACATTTCAGTGTGGGATTCCATCACGTTTTTATATAATACGTGCAAAATGTGTCTGTGCCTTTCCAGATGTCATATTTAAATAAAAGAAAGGCAGATGGTGGCACTTTTAAGTTACCTGAGGATGGTTAAATTAATAGCCTGATTAATTTGCCTTATTGATAATAGAGGTCATCATATCAGAAACAACCTAATACTTGAAGTTAAGAGAACTGCATGATTGTCTTTTTCTTAATACCAACTTTTGAAAGAAGTTGGATTCATTATTTGCTATCTTAAAAAGACACACTGATAAAATATGTTAAGACCCAAACAAATTATTTACGTGCATATATAAGGTATGCACTATTTTTAAATGAAAGAAAATATTTTACAAATAATTTTGTTCATTATAAACTATACAATGCACCATTCTTTTCACTCATACCAATACTTTGCACCAAACATTGCTATATTCAATCTTAACACTCCTCAAATATGAGAAAAACAGTTTCCACTATACTAAGAAGTGAAATTTATAGTGAACATATTCCAACATCTTAAAGGATCACAGATCTACAACAGTTTTTAAAGAATTTATACATATTGAAATGGGTGCTTTACTTATTAAAGAGCTAAAAGTAAAGCTGCTTCTCTTCATTTTAAGTTAAATGCTGTAGCATTTAACAGCAGATTCTTTACACTGCAACATTCAACTATTAAGGTGGAGATTTTAGTAAAGCTAAATGGTGGTATATCTCTTACTTCTGAAAACTGCTGAAATTTTAGTGCTGCTGTCTTATTTATATGATAATTAAAAAATAATTTGGAAAGACATCTTCCCTTTCAAAATTTTTCAACATAAGGCACACGGCAACATTAAAGTCTGGAAACGACGAGATTAAATAATTAACTTTTCAACCATTTTTTGCCCTTTACCTGAAGAAAGTGGGTGAGTAGCGCAGTTAAAACATGCCTGGATTAATAAAAACGACTGAATTTAAGAAACACTGATAATATTTGTGTGCAGAATGTTATTAATTTTAAAAAGAGAAAGTATATTTTATATAAAACATACTCATACAGTGTTATAGGTAGAAAAAATTGTGAGGCACTTACATTACCAAGGAAGGAGGAGAGCACTGAGATTATCTTTTTATAAAAGCACCGAACCACTCATTTTAACATCTGAGATGAAAGCAGAAGCTACAAATAAAAGAAAATAGTTCATATTTGGTACACTAATAAGAATGTTGAAGTTCAAAACTCGAAGTATTTCATTTTATTCTGACAGAAATAATTCCAACAGAGAAAAAGTTCTTATTTAAAAGTGTCATAATGTCCCCCTGAATAAGTTTTGTATATTCTGTGGTATCTCAGAATACTATAAAGTGTAGATTATTTCACTCCTCTGTGGCAGCATACTTTCTATTTTAATGATGGTAATATATGTAATTAACTCCTCTTATAAAACCATTAAAATTTGGTTTGGAAAAACAGTGAGAACTACATATATCAGTGCCTCCACGTGAACTTGCTAACATCCAACAATGACAGTTTTATTACTCCCTAATAATGTTTCACAAACGAATTTAATCAAAAAACCAAGATGAAAAGTGGGCTTGGAATTACAGGAATCCACTGGATGTCAAGTCAGAGAAAGGTCTGGCTTCTGACGGGTGAAGATGGGTGGTAGGCTGAGTGTTATTTATGCTGTTTAATTCAGCTGGATAGGTTTCATTTAAGACTCCTCCGTTCTGAAACTGAAAACAGTGCAACTTATTAGAACAGATCCTTCATATAGCTTAAGCCGTTAGATGTATGAAAATGTATTTTTAAAATCTTTGTCCTGGGCTTCCCTGGTGGCGCAGTGGTTGGGAGTCTGCCTGCCGATGCAGGGGACGCAGGTTCGTGCCCCGGTCCAGGAGGATCCCACATGCCGCGGAGCGGCTGGGCCCGTGAGCCATGGCCGCTAAGACTGCGCGTACGGAGGCTGTGCTCCGTGGCGGGAGAGGCCACAACAGTGAGAGCCCAGCGTACCGCAAAAAAAAAAAAAAAAAAAAAAACTTTGTGCTGCACGTTATTAAACTTCAAATTCCTTTCCTGCTGTTAAATTTTAAATCATTCAGTGAAGACATACTGAACATATATTCTGTATTAGTTGCATTTACAGCCTTTTGGTTTCTCTCTTACATGGTATGGATGAATAATATCATTGTCTCACTGCAGATTTGGCATTCCATACACTGAGAGAGTACTTGATCAGTGAACTGCCTATGGTTTGGATAGGAACTGATGGATCAGAGAGTACCAATCGTGAATCACAGTAACTGTACTCTCTGTCATAAGTAAGCTTGTTTTGACCAGATTTTATCTAAAAGTTCTAGGTACCGATGAATTAATTACATTGAAGATCACTACACTGAACTACAGATAACCTAGAACCTTCTCAAAGGAGGTAAGTTTTGATTTGCAAGAGGTTTCTTAACAACCTATTACACCATGGGTATATGATTGCTAGAACCAAGTTTTTAAATTCATAACATGCTTTACTACTAAAATTACTGTCCTAATTATGGAAATAAGTTACCAAAGTAAAATACTTGCTCTTGCTGTGTAACAGTGAACTTAGGCTGATTTCCATAACTGCTACTGAAAAAAAGGAGGGATGACAGAGATACCTAGTTCTGTAGGATTTTTACAGATTAGAGAGCCTTTTGTATTTTAGAATATAGTTAGTGAAAGTAACATTATAATCATACCCTTAATTGCTTTGAATGACATCTACCTTTCTGAAGCCTATGTAACATTAGGTTTCAGTAATCAAAACGGACTGCTTCTAAACTTCGTCGAGTTTTCAAAAGGAATATAGTAAGTGCCCAGAGAATGGTAGGTTTTGAATAAATTACTCTCATCAGTCATAATACAATGCACATCAGCAATTCTCTAAATATACTGCCTACAGCAGTGCTGTCCACCAGAATACAATGTGAGCCACAGATGGAATTTTAATTTTCTTTAGTTTTTATAACTCCTAGGGGGAATATATAGGTCTAGAATTCTTATCATTCATAAAGAAGTAATACAAAACAGTGGGGGAAGAAAATACTGTAAGGAACTCATGCTAATGCAGGCCCTGTTCAAAATGTAATTTTACATAATTAACTTGTACAGCAAACTGTACAGAAGTTACCTACCCAGGCTTACTTCACAGCAGTGTTGTGAGATAGACTGTAACCAATTGTTAAATAACTGAAGGAAGTCAGGAATGAGGATAAGAAAAACTTTCACAGCCATTTTCTATGAATAAGCTCATATATAATCAGACAAACCTCATATATAATCAGACAAAACCACGTGTATAAAAAGGCCAGAAAAAAACAATTAGTGAAAAAGAGTCAAGTAACATTTATAAACTATTATAATACATAGTCTTATAACCAGGATTCGCTTCAAAACTAAACTTAAATATACAGTAAAATGAACTAAATATTTTCTAATGGAAAAGCATAAATGCAAACATGATGTATTCCTGGGTGGCCGAAGAGAGCAGCAATCATCAGCACGTACTTTTTGTTTTTTTTAAGTTTCCACGATGCTAGAAGGGTTAGAATGACACATTTAAATGAAGACAAAGCATCCAGCTTGAGTCCCCTGATAGAAAGCCAGCTGAGATACCCTTTTTTTTTTTTTTTAAAGAATGCCAGGGAAAAAAACTATTCTACCTTAAAGGATAAAATGAGGATCTGGCAGGTCACAGAGAGCGACTGCCAGAGAACACCAAGGAAGCCAAGTACTGAATTCCAGAGATCATCTAGGACAAAAGCATTTGAAGGAAGCACAACTATATTGATTTTTAACCCAATTTCAACAGAAATAGAGCCAATATTAAATAATAACTTTAAATAGAGTATAATCGATAAAAACATTGAATCACTATGTTGTACACCTGAAAGTAATCAATTATATGTCAGCAAAAAAACTGAGCTTTGAAGAAAATATCCTTAAAAATTTAAAAGGCCGTATTTTTAAAAATCAAGATTATACTTTTAACTAATTTCACCTGGTTGTCACTTAAGGCCATGTTGCTTTTTTCCTTGATTTCTTTCTCCTTTCAGGTAACTATGATATACTTGTATTACTAACATATTAAAAAAGTACTGGCTTATAAAAAAATAGATCAAGTTTAAAATGCTCTCTCACACGAATGCTACAGATAATAGATTAAAATCAGTCACTGACGTAGAAAATTTATAACTTGGTTCGATTTATAATGTACGAAGAATCATCTAAAGGGTTTATTCAGTTTAATAAAACTCTTACCTTGTTTAAAAATGCCTGCGGGCCTGGCATTGTTGGGTTGTACTGCATCTGAGCCACATGGCTGTGCTGAGCTTCCGGCTGGCACTGGTACATTGACACAGCCCCGGCGTAACATGTCTGAGGAGTTACTATGGCTGACTGTGGATTGAGTCCGTGCCTTTGGCTTTGAGGAACTTGTAAACATGTGACAAAGTCTTCTAAATTAGAAGAAGTTGTAGGGTATGGGGCTGGTTCAAAATCCCCGATGGGGAAGTCTAACTGTGTACCCTTAGAATGTGGCGGCAACACAGACTGACCACAGGGAATAAAGTTCTGTGCGTAAGGCATAGTATCAATCTCAGATTTGTAGGGCAACTCTTGACTGGTCCCAGGTACAGGTACGTCTGAAAAGACATTGTACTGGTGTAAGTCTTGCTGAGGACAATTAAAAGGCACGGATTGGTTCGAGTTCCAGTTTGCGAACGTGCCATTAACTTGCATATGCTGCATTTTCTGACACAGCTGTTGCTGCTGCTCCACTGCTCTGTGCTTCTGATGCTGCTGTAGCTGCTCTTGCTGTTCTAACTGGAGGTGCTCCTGTACCATGCAGCTTGGGTTCAGAGCCATGGACTGTTGCTGATGGTAACCTGAACACCCCAAGGCCGACTTATTTAAAGAGTCTTCGACGTAGGTCAGAATTTCATCTGTTAAGTCAATATCTCTGAAGTCTTCTTCACCAGAAAAGTCAGTTCTGAAAAATTCCTCATTCTGTTGCATGTGTTTGATATCTTCAAAATCGATGCCTAGGTGTTTCATAATGCTGTACAAGTCACTATTTCTATTATCTGGAAAGAGCCCTGCGTGATCTCCAGAGAGGGTTGGGTTCATTTCCTGAGACTGGCCAATCTGCTCGTGTTTCAGGATATTGTCACTTCCCATTGGTGCGACATTGTTTTGCCAATTACTGCACTCATTCTGAGAGTCATTGAAAAAGTTTCTTTCAAAAGGTGTACTACTTGAAGCAGGATAGAGATAAATAGATTCATCTTGTTGCATCATGGCATTCAGGAGGGAACTGGGATTGAGGGAATCCTTACTTAGAGTTGACTTGGTAGCAGAATCTTTTCCACCAGCACCATTTTTAGTCCTTATTGGTAAGGGATCCATTATGGGAGGAAAAGGGTTGGTTACCTCATATAAAACAGCTTCTCCAGTGGTAAACATAAAAGGCAACTTCAGATTTCGTTTTCGTAAATGCTCTGTTCCTTCTTCATCTCTAAAATTGTGCACAAGAAAGTTGGCGTATGTTAAGGAGAGTCGCATCATAAACATTTCAAAATAAGAAATTTTAGAAAAGAAAAAATAATAGCAAGCAAAATACACTGTAGTTGAGTTTCATAGCAGGGAACATGAACTTTGAGAGAAATCTTTCTGATGATAAGTACTTAAAATTGTTTTTCAGACAAATTTAATTTAGAATTTGTCCAAAAACTTAATAATACGGTCATTAATTTCACACTCAGGTTCCATCCCTACCTGAAAAATGGATTACAAATGGAATAAAGATCCAAATGTAAAAATGAGGCTCGTTGAAATAAAATATAAAACCCAGAAGCTCTAAAGGAAGATTGACATATGAAAATTAAAAATGTTTGCATGGGGAAGGAATTCATAAATCAAGGCATGGAGAAAATGTCATAGCTATAGGTTCATATGTACTACACAGAGTGTATATATGTAAAACTTAATATCCATATTAGGTAAAGAGCTCCAATGGATTTCATAACCATCCAATGGATCTCATAATAACTAATAGAACAAGCAAACAAAAATATCAAATGTATAAAAACAAACATTCTTCCATTCTTATAAACAAATTTTCCCATGGGAATTGACAACTGATTTCTAAACTATTTATATAGAAATGTAAAGAGCCAAGATTATCTTGAAAGAGAACAAAAATTCTGGACAAACGAGATGGCGGGCATACATCAAGATATCAAGGCATATTAAGGTACAGAATAGTTAAGACAATGTGTTTTGGTCTAAAAATAGACAACCAGACCAATGGAACCCCAGATACAATCCCCTGATTGAAATGCAGTGCAGTGGGGAAAAGATGGTCTTTTCAAAAAACCATCTTTCCAATAAATGTTACTAGTCAGCTAGATATCCATATAAGGGAAAAGAATAATCTTGATCCTTACCCTCAAAACCACATACAAAAATCATTTCGCCAGACTGGAGAAAACATTTGCAATACAAATATCTGACAAACTACTCACTTCGAGAATATATGAGAAACTTAAAAATCACTGCCTGCTTATTAGCAAACACGCTAAACAAAGCACTGTTATGTTTTTATTTTATTTGACAGATGGCGCTGGCTTTTCATCTTTCCTTCATATACCCAGGATAAACCCTTGGAGTTTTCTTTGATTATTCTCTTTCTGTAGCTCTACATACACAGTTGTTCAAGAAAGTCTGTTAACTCTGTTTTCTCAATGTCCTTACCCTATGCCACCTTCTTTCTGTACATATTACCTTTCAATTTTTATTTCCAGTGTAAATTCTCTTAAAATTTGTTTTTAGGTTTTCATGAAGGAGAATTTATAAACCAAAGTGTTATTAAAATAAAAAACCAAAACATGAAATGTTCTAGGTCTTTGTACTTACGTTAGAGGTCTCTGAGTTGCAATGATATAATCTGGTCTTCCATTCTTATAAACTAAGCGTGCATTCGACTGCACCCAAGTCCATCGATTGTCTTTCGTAAGAAGCCTGAACACTATCATGCCACTCTCTCCAGTCTTAATCACTGAAACAAAAAAGAATTAAATTATCAAATTCAAAATCAACACAATAATCTCTGTAATATTTCTAGATGTAATTCACATATCACCAAAGATGATAACTATGTTGACGACTTTTAAGCACAGTATATTAAAATGTATCAAAATACTTCTTCAGCATTGCTATTTTTTCCTGTTTCATACTAAATTTATTATTTAAATGGTTCAAGGAAAGATTAAGTCAGACAATTCTCATAACACGTGAAAAGAGAGTACAGAGTTTGGAGGGAAAATTGTTTTCATTTTAAAAAAAGGGAACATTTCCTACAGCCTAATATTTTACTATACAATTTTAAAGCATAATCTCTATTAACATAAATTTTAGAATTAAAAATGATGCCATTAAAAAAACTGAGCAAAAACGTGGGCAAAAGGTCACTTTCAGAGTAATTAAACTACTTAATTCCTGTGTGGCAGCTAATGAACAGAGAGTGTAACTCAGGCTAATCATAATTGTGGGATACTAAGGAGAAGTTTATCCAAATAGTTTCCTTAAACACTTACATTAGTAATAATTTGAAAGACGTACTAGAGCGTAAGCTGCTTTCACAGCCAAGCTCATGAGAAACTACAACTTACTCCGGATATGGTACTCAGCACAGTAAAGCATATCAGCAGCATGAATAAACTGATATCCTGATCCTCTCATGCATAGCTCTGCTTCAGTATAGCCTAAAACAATTCTTCCTCTGTTTAAAAGAAAGGCAAAATAAGAATGCAATTAAAATTTAACAAAAATGAAGTAGCCAACATCAGTTCATTAGTTATATGCTAGTTTCTGTACTATGTTGACATTCAGAATTTCACACTAGCAGGTAGAAACACACACAGTTCTGTAACTGCTCTCTTTTGCTTATGGTTGCAAATTTCACTTTTAGACTGTTTTCTTCTCCTGAATAAAGACCATGAAAATTGTTGCTAAAGATCAGTCTAACAGAGTAGATTATATAGGTGAAACACAAAATCTCTAATTAAATTCTAGAATACCTATACTACATTTTGAGGGGCAGGGTTTCTCCAACCTGTCTGCATTTGCGTTATTAGGAAGGAGAAAAGTAGCAACATGCTTTGGTTACTAAACTTCTAGGGCTAAAAGTCAAAGTTTGTGTAGTTTAAAAATGTAAAACAAGTCAACAATAAATGTCATCAGGATACCGAATCTTATATAAACACATCATCTGTATAATACAGAAATTGTGTCAAATATTGTAAAATAATAAAAAGATTTGTGAACGTGATGAAATTTTATTTTAAAAGGCTATGCTGTAAAGTATGAAATAATAATAGCTACTATAATAATAAACTACTATAATCAACACCATATGGAAAATATATACATGCTAAGACACACTTACTGCAACAAAATATACATTTGGTAAAATAAACCTGAAAAGGTTTCACTTACTTGGCATCACAACCAGTAGGTGTAAAGTCTAACTTGTGTTTGGTTCTAAAGATGAAATTTTTGGTTCGGATTTCAAGTATGGATGGTGGCTGCAGTGGAGTAGCTATTGCAAACAAAGCCAACTGCGGTGGAAGTATTGATCCATCTTTCCCTTTCTTGTTCTGTCCGTGAAGATACTTCAACCTCCCTTGGAAATTCATTGCCTTAAAAAACAGTTCATTAAGATTAACGTTTTAAAATGGTTCCTTTTTAAAAGGCTCCATCAGGGCCATTTCCAGTGTTCTTGATAATTCCATAAAAGTTCATGAGGCTATCAAATGTGACTTGAATTCCTTTCTCCCCAGAAAGCCCATTAAAAATATCCTAAAAGGTAGTATGAGGGCTATCCTCAAGGGATTCGTAAGTGAACCACTCAGTGCTTTAATAGGTCACAAAAGGAAGACCTAATGGTTTTCTGACCTTGCGGCTGCCCTACCATCCACGCCTAGCACGGGTCCGTACACACTGCACACTCAAACTCTATTTCCTAAACGAATGAATAGTGATAAAGCCATCAAGTACATATTAATTTTCAGATATAGTCTGTGGACTAGTCCACAGCTCAGAGTATATTCAAAATTCATAGGAATCTTTTATAGAGAGATAAAACAACTGTTTAAAAACACTAAAATGAATCATAAAACGATACAAAGAACACAGAACTCTATTAAAGAACAATTTTAGAAGACAGAGGAAACAGAGACAATTTAATCACGATCATGATCAATCTGGCTGCTTAAAACAGTACCAGGCCAAGGGATGATTCTTACATCAATATGAGAGCAGCACAAGGGAGAAGAGGCCCAATTACACAAAGAAATTCCACCTAGACATATATACTAAGTGATCATCAATACTAGCAAACTAGCTCAAAGCACAGTTCTAATTCTGGGTCAGCAAAACTATCTTCAGGAATAAACACACCAACAAAAATCATTGTTTGCTAATACATTTGATCATCTGTTTCCAATTCCTGATAAGTCACAAAAGTAATATGCAACATGCTTTGTCTCCTTCTGTACCTGGTGGAGTGCACAATCTTCAGGACACAGGCACCTGACAGGCCGGGCCGTCTCTACTCTTAGCGTCCTGCCTACGCTGCTCCCTGGCCATCCTACTCAGGAGTTCACACTATTCAAGAGCATTTCATACTAGAGGAGGATCCTGCAATCATGAAGACACAACCACTTTTTTACACGGCAGTTATTCCAGCCATGCGGAAAAGGCCGTGATAATTTTTCCATTTGGCAGGCATTAAATCCAAGGAGGGTAAGCAGTCTGCTGCCAAAGAAGTGCTATATAATTCTCTATCTTATACCTAAAAAGTCCAAAAGAAGGGGAAAGATAGAGAGTTCCCTGTTATTCCACTAGTCTTTGTTACTGCATCCTAAAGGATAGAGATTTTGAGTTATGGAAGATATTTCCAAAACTTTAGAAAGATTTTAAAAAGTTACTGTCCTTTATAAAATTATTTAATAAAGTAGATTTTTATAACCCAAACTCAAATACATTCAAATTAAATTGGTTTCACTTTTCTTTTTAATTTTCTAAAACTTCATAGTAAATGTCAGTAAAAGATTTTGCACCTTACCAGAAAACCAGATGAATTATCCAACAGACACCTTAGTCGGCAAACGAAGCACCTTTCCATAGACGAAGAGTTCTCTGGAGGAACCTGGTCTGGGTTATAATAGACTGCTGGCTGTGAGAGGCCATTAGCTTCTGTAGAAATAATAGCAACACAAAGTTACTTTCATTTTGCTGTAAAATTAAGTGTTTGAATAGCTGAAATTTGTGTTAATTTCTAAACCGAAGTCTGTATTTGGATTACAAAAGAAAAATCGCTTTCAGAAGGGGAGCTAGTGAAAAGAAATGAAAACTTATTGAATAACATTTTCACTACATAGAACTTTACCTATTTGGCTGTTTTTACTTCTACTGAGCTATCCTGTCAACAATTTCTATATTTTCTAAGCCTTTTCTTCTTTTTAACATTTTCACAGATGTGTGAAAACACTGCTTGCATTGAAAGAAGGTTTTTTTATCCTTGCATATGCTAGTCTGCTTTTATATTTGGTGCATTTTAAACACAGAACAATTCATACACACTCCAGAATCAACCTTGTGCATTCCTTCCCCCTTTTCACAACAGTGTAAGAGTTCTTTTTATACAATATATTAGTGAGTATATGGGTATACTTTGTCACGTGAAATTCATCAATGGCTGTCATCTGTCAAAATCCTCCTTAGGTCACCAGGTTCCCTGTGACCTGGCTCTGGCCCGCAGCCAGAGATTCATGTCTTTCCCCTTCTCCCCAACCTTCACCATGGAGTTCTATGCCCCTAAAGGTTCTCTGCCTTCTTTCACAGAATTATATCAAAAAATCCCCAACACTATCTTTTGGTAAACATTCTTACCATCCATTTTTTGTCCAGAGTCTGGACACTGTGAAGGGTTTAACGCCCAGTGCAGCTGGCGCTGAAATTCAGCTCGGTCTTCAGTATGGATCAGTTCATACACACTCTGATGGATGACATCAGACTAAAGAAAAAAAAAAAAAAAAGGAAATTAACAAGAAGTACTGATTTTTTTAAAATGGGGCTTACTAATTTCAAAATCTTGCTAGATTAGTGGGTGCTTGTTAGTGGTGATGAACGCAAATGAAATGCTTGCAAAGTTCTTCAGGAATCCAATATAGGAAAAGCCAGAAAGAGACTAGCACTGTAATTGACAAGTCAAAAGTTATTTGCCATCACTTCCCTGTGTGAATGCTTTTCAGTCAAATAAGTCACCTTCCCACTCCTTAACTGCAGCACATTAAGTTCTGCTGATTTTTATCTATTTACTGATCTTTTAAAATCCTCCTTCTTCCACAAAACCTTGTCTGAACATCCAGCTGCATTTGACTTCTCTAAGCTTGATAGTATTATGTATTTCCTTCACTGCTCTCTAATAATTTTCCTTATATGAAATTTTTACTTCTAGTAGATTCCATAAGAGTAAGGGATTATGCCATTACCAGGTCAGAATCCCTCCTTCACCTCTTGCTTCTCAGCATTTACTACAGTAAATGGCCCTTCCACCAGAATTGCTCTAACTTTTTTTATTGCAACTCATGGCAAGAAATACATTTTCTATCCATCGTGTGTGTGTGTGTGTGTGTGTGTGTGTGTGTATACACACACGTGGAAAAAAGTTTCACAGAACACTTCTTCTATGTGTAACAATATTTTTAAAATTTATTTTTATTGGTGTATAGTTGCTTTATAATGTCCTGTTAGCTTCTACTGTACAGCAAAATGAATCAGCCATACATATATATATATAT